CAAGCAATGCTAGTAGTAGAGAGAAATGTACCCTTGCTTGTACCTCAACAAGGTGAATTGAATTTATTGGCATTGTCTGCCAATTCAAGGGATATAGTACATGAAATTGAAGAATTTAGTCGTACGTTGGCACAAGAGGAAATTATAGAAGTTGTACTAGAACCAGCTTCAATTTGTTTGGTGGTGGAGGAGGAGAATGAAGTCTCAATTTCGTTAAATATTAATCAATTGGCATTTCCATAAAGCCAACTACTGGAAGGCACACACCTTAAGAATACTTTATTGAAGTATATTTTGTAAATACATTGCATGGTATGAACATTGGGTATATATGGCAGTATCAAACAAGAATTAAAGGCAAGCAAAAAGGTAATATCGGAGCAGAACCGAAGAATTGCAGTGAAAGAATAAATCATCTAGGAGAATGCAAAGTCCAAGTTGACATTGAAGTGGAGGTTTTTATAGAAATAAAAAGTTTAGGCAAAAGAAAAAGAACACATCTTACAGATCATAGAAGATCAATGAAAAGAATTGCTTTAGAATAGCCGGATATGGAATTTAGAATGAGCATAAGTTAGGTACCAATTACAAGTGGAACGAAAAAAGGCAGAGTTGTTAGTGCAAGAAAAAGTGGTATTAAGTGACTAATACAAATATGAAATAGAGCAGTTGAGGGCTGAAATTGAGGCCTTGAATGCTGAGGTGACAAAATTAGCATATGATTTAGTCAATATTAGTTAGTCATAAATATCAATGATGTCAATTTCTAAAGTTCTAGAATGGATGAGTCAACATCAATATCAGTTGGAATTGAGAGATGTCCAGATCTTGAAATTAGAAGCACAAGTCCATGAATTGGGAGAGTACAATGAAGACCTTTCAGTCCACTTGAGGAAGGAGCCAATAGAAGGATTGGAGGAGGATGAAAGTTTGTATTTGGAACTAGAATCAATGGAACCAATAATGGATAATGTAAAATTTGAGCAATTGAGTGTGCCAAAGGTATAGCAATTTTATAGAGTTTTATTAAGTAATTTTTTTTTATATATATATATATATTAAATATTTATTTGTAAAGGCACTACACAATTAAGAGTGGAACTATGTAGAATGGGTAGAAATTTATTTTTGTAAGGTATTAGTAAAGTAGATTAAACACTCCTAAGATAATCAATTCAGTAGGTTGGATGATTGAATTAGTTGTGAAAAACGGTTAAGTAGAGAATGACAGTTAGAATCTAGAATTTCCAGTGTAAATATATTTAATTTGGTTGCAAATTCTCAATAAAGAAGATTTTTTTTATTAAAAATTTAGAAAATAGATGTAAAGAATATAGAAAGTGATTTTTATCATACATGTGGTCAATCCACCTATTTTTACATTCACTCTTATTCAATTCTTTAAATGGTAGATCATCAAAATTGAGTGAAATTTTAAAAATTAAAACTTTATAATTCAAGATTAGCAATTAAAATATTCATTCATCTTGTCTTTTATTCAATTTAGTTCTTCACAAAACATTCCACATATTCTAAGTATATGAAAAGAATACTTGATTGAACTCTAAAAAATTAAAAAAAATAAAAAATAAAAAATTAAAATTGTGGATGTTAGGAAGTAATAGTTAAGACTTATTTAACCATCTAAAGATTATAGAATTTCTAGTCAAGTGAGAAATTATTAATGCAATGTCTTAAGTTTAAATTTAATTAAATAAATAAATTAAATAAATAAATAAATAAATAGGCAATTTCAATGAGATAGTGTTAATGCATGAAAGACCAACAATACACATACAAGGGATATGTAAGCATGGTTTTAACTAGACATGGTTTTAACTAGACAGGCTTGATGTCATGCTCTTCTCAGATTAGAGAAAATTCTAAAGTATTAATTTTCTTTAATTTTTTAGTATTTTTCCTTCTTTAAAGATTTTGTTAAAAGATAGATTTCAAATTCTTTTGTCTCTCGTAGGTAGTACTTTAGAACAATCCAACTTAGTTTAAATATTAAGTGGCAATAGCTAACTCATTTAAATTATAGAAAATTAATAGCTTCTAAAGCTAGTTGCTTCTTAAGCAATAGATTATACATAATAATTCTAGGTTCTTCTCTTTTGCAAGTCGTCTAAGATGGTCACTATGTGTGAGTCATCAAATTGACTCTTTAGTTATTTTAGAACAAAAAGATACATTTAGACTCCTTAAAATTATAATATATAGTGAGTAGTGTAGAAATCTTTAAACAAATAGAAAATTAAAATATTAGTTGTAGAAATGAAGTCTTAGTAAGTCTTAGAGGCAATTATCTTAGTTGATTTAGTAGTCTTACTTATTATTGAGTATTCAAGATTATTTACTAAAATTAATATTTACATTTGCCTTCTATCTATATGTATTATTTATAAAAAAAAACTATGAATATTAATTAGTAGTTAAAAAAAGCATGAAAAAGAACTTCATATCTTTAATTAGTTATATAGAAAGTAGAATTTATAATAGATTTGAATTTATTTTATTACTATAAAAAATTATCATAATAGGAAATTATAGCCTTAAATTGATATTAATATTATAAAAGTATTTTTTAAAAAATTAAAATTTATTTAGAATTTATTTATAAATTTTTGAGTAATTTTTAAGATTTTGGTAAAAATGAATTTTAGTACTTTGGGAGCCATTATGAAGAAATGGAGCAAGAATTGAAAGCCATTCATGGCTAGTAGGCTAATTGGATGTTTTTGAATACCATGGTGAAGTCAAAAATGCAAAAGTATGGAAAGCTTCTTAAACAATTTCTTTAATTCTTTTAAATTTTTTTAGAACTTATTAGAATATTTTAAGAACCTTCTAGAATCTTCTAAGATTCTTCTAAAAATCTTTTTAGAATCTTTTAGAACCTTTTAGAATCTAATAAAATATTCTTAAATTATTCTTAAAATACTCTTGTTAGATGTCCGTAACAGTTATTTATGTTATACAATTGACTTATAAAAGATAATAATCAAATAGAGCTACTAAAATAGTATTTTAAAGTTTATAAATGATATTTGAAATAATGCTTATTTTATTTTTTAAAATTTTTTCAAAATTTTTTTTTTATGAAATAGATCTATTAAGCATTATATTAATAATAATATCACAAAAATGTGGTATAAATAATCACATTTATTCTATTATTTTTTATTCAAAAGAATTTTTTAGTAGTTAAGGTTGTTTATGAGTTTTATGACAAAGAATTATTTATAAGTAGAAATTCATCTAAAAATGACCTTATTATTTAGAAGGTATTTTTAATTCAATCATAGTATGTATCAATTATATTAATTTTAAGTATTTTATGCCAATAAGTGTCTTGAAATATTGCTAAGTAAATTTGAGTATATATTTTTATAATTTTTATTCAATTATTTGTATCATTTCAAAAAACAACAAAGCTTATTAAAATTCTTTTATCAATAGTCTTATTCTTCTATTAAAAAATATGTATGCAACTAACAATTAACAAAATATACATAGATATATATATATATATATATATATATATATATATATATGAAGTTCTTTAAGCCATACCTCACATTTATATTTCATGATTAATTTTATCCATCTCCATCTTTGTTCTTTGTCCCATGTTCCTCATTCTCAACCCTTATGCCTTATTTCTTATTTTTGTCTTTTGTTCCATCTCTTTTAAAATTAATCATCACATGGGTTTAGGGGATATAGCTTTAACAACATTGAAATGTGGATTTAACAACTCCCTATATATATATATATATATATATATATACATTGATAAATTTTAATCATGCATATCAACAAAATATTTTATTTTTTAATAATTATAATTATAATATACATCTTTGATAATTAAATTATATTTGGTAATTATTTTATAAAAACTTTTTTTTTTTAAGTTTAGATGATGTTTGTATGTTCTAGAAGATCAAACACAATTATGTGTGTTTTATGCATGATATAACTTTTCAACAATACAACATTTGCGGTACAATAAAACTTTGAAACTTAAATTAAGAGATTTTTGGTGACTTTAAATATGCAAAGTTGTTGAAGAATTCAAACAATCTTAAGACACCTAGTTTCAAGAAAAAAATCTACATCATTAATTAATAGAGTACCACACTATAAAAGATTTTGAAAATAACCATAATCATTTGATTAACTAAAATATAACACAGCAACAAATAATTTTTTTTTTGTAAATAAATATTTTAAAATGTTGCTATAAACTTATATTTTTTTGGATTTTCGTAAAACATTTTAATATTTCTCAATTGTTTTGTACTAAAGGTTTAAGTATTATTTAAAAACACAATATAAATTCCTTTAGATAATTTAATTGTAATCTAAATTATATTTAATTAAGTACCAAACCAAAAACAATAGAAGTCCAATATAAGGATTTTATAAAGAAATAAAAGAAAAGACAAAAATTTCATTTCTAGTAGAAAGTTGGTTTAAGAAAATAAATCACAAATTCTTAACATTTGAAATAACTAAATATAGCTTTGAGTGTAATAATATTTATTTATATTAAAATTAAGAAGTTTCTGAATTATATCTCAATTTTCTACTAAAGTTTTTGGAACTAAACCCTCAACCTTCACCCCAACTTCTATTAATAAGGAGAGAAATATGCACTTAGAATATATAATCTTGACCTAAATGACGTGCACAAGCAGCTATTATTTGTCCATTGTAAACTCCCACAAGCATACCTCAATATCTTCTGCTTCCAGGGCATACACACGTGGAACTTCTCTCCATAAGAATTAGCATGCTATTTCCAGCTAATATTTTCATTAGTACGTAAAAAGCGTTGTCAAGCCCGCTGCAAACATTTTAAGTGGATAAAACAATATACTTGAGAAGCTCTTACCTAGACCCTTCAGCCAGGTCCTTAAGCGACTTTAAAAATTCAGAGTTCGGGCATCAGATTTCAGGTTGGACTTGAACCAAGAGCATGGAAAAGTGTGTAGTACAACAGTAAATCCCCATATTCCCATTCAAATTGATGTCGACGGGAAAGATGTAGAAATTTAATCATAAAAGATGCCCCTGAACCCAAGGGTTCCCAAAGCAGAGACAAGGTGATGGCCACAGCAAACCAACCTATTGACATACTTAAAGTAGTAAAGTTTCTAAGGACTTTTCTCTTGGACGTGTAGACTACATCCATAATCCTATCTGGCCATGTTTTGAAAAGATTCAGAACGTAACAGAGGTAAGAGAAACTATCATAACTTCATAGTCATATGCACATCCTTCCCCAACTTTAGGAGTAGATTTCTCACAGAACAGGCCATAGATTGGAGAGTAACACTAGCGCGTGAGAAGAGAGCACCCAAAGAAATAAAGCGCTGCCGCTCTTACAAGCCCCAATTGTATGTACAGAAATGCTTGGCAGCAAATTATGAGGTCCATCCACGAGCCAAGTGGGAGGGAGGACCATGAAGACCCTCAGTTATTGAAATAGGACCCTAGTCTTACCTGTTCACCTCGAGGAGCCCTTTTGAGACAAATCAGGGGTGAAAACATGTTACTCCCTAGGCTTGCCTGGTCAGGATCCTTGCCACCCAAATTGGAAGCCAAACGCGTAATGGAGTGGCATTGCCGTCTTCAGGTTAATACAATTTGAAATGATGAGGACGAGAGGACATTCTTTATAAAGGGGCACGAAAATGAAGTGCCTCAAGGATCAGCATGACCGGCCATCTCTTCGTCACTTGACATGCAATCTTCTTCGTCACTCAACTCCTCATCACTGGACTCCTCCTCTGGACGCCTTCCAATGTCCTCTGCTTTGGCATATCTTTCACAATATTCTGCAATCACCATTGCAACAAATAGCATGCGGTCAGGACGTGTACAACATCACAGGAATAGCGGCATTAATTTTGTCGTAGAACCAAGCAAAGACAAATCTTAGGACATACCTTTAGTAGTTTAACAATCATATACCCGTAAAGTACACAACATCACCACCACGAGTGGCGTAAGGAGCCAAATTGAAACTAGTAAACAGTTAGAAGACCAGCTGCACTAAGTAGTCACCTTTCACTTTCTGCTCATAATGCTCGCGGTCTCGCATCATCAACGCAGCAGCTTCACCATTCAAAGGATCGGTAGGATTAGGGTAGAGTAAGAGCTGAGGCAAGAAGACTTCGAATACATTGATGAGGTCTGCATGAATCAAGCCACAAATAAAACACACTGTAAGTTACCCTACCGTTCAAAAGATGACTAAGAGTTCAATAACTCCATTTCACATTCACTGATTAGATTCGACCGGAACTTCCAAGAACAAACCCTATACAATCAATAACGATAGAATAGCATCAGGCCTCGAAATCGATCAGGTGTCTTCCAGCTGAAGTCCAAAACTTACAATTAATCGACTGCAATGAAGAGAGGACACTCACCAAACATGGGACTCCAAGTCTGATTGATGACATCCAAGCATACAGATCCTGACCTGCAACCACCGCAGTGCCCAACGTCTAAGGATCTGAACCTCACGTCCACCACGATAACAGCCATGCTCTTCAGAGAACAAGAAGATGCATGAGATAATGCTCAAACATCTGCAAAACAAATCTGAACCTGCATACAGGTAATAAATATAGAAGCAAAGACAACGCAAACGTGACACAAGACTAAACCATTGAAACTATCCAGGATGCGCTTAGAATTGGATGGTAGGTCTACAGTAGATACTGAAGTCTGCTCAGTAAGATCCATTGCCTTAACTTTGGATAAGCATTACCTAACAACACTAACCTACATTACGGTTCTGCATGAGAAGAAGCAGAAAAAGAGAGAAAGAAAAAGAAAAGAAACACAGAGGTAGCCGCCATTAGCTGTGTATCAATAATAGCTTCAAGCTTACAATGTCATGAATTGAAAGGACCATATACTGTTCCTACAGCGGCACTGAGGACAGCGGACAGTAGATTACAACTGATCACTAGATTACTTATTTGCACCCTGCAAGTTATAGGGAGGATCGAAAAATGAAAACTAAACAGCTCAAAAGAGAGGAGGAAAGAAGTGCGAAAAAGGGTAGAACGTTACAGAATACACACCAGAACTATGAGGTAAATTACGACCGAAAAACAACAGATCGAACTAGACATGGACATCTTACATCTCATCCACGTTTGGATGGAAGATCCTGTTCACAAACCCAATGGAAGGAGATTTGTAGGGATAAGCATCGGGCAATTCAACTCGGATTTTCCAGGTCCCTTCTTGATATGGACCTGTGCAACACCGATTCATCCGATGTCTCGTCAGGCTTTTACCAATATATAGAGAACGACGAATCCCAGTTTCGGAATACACAAAAATGTGTGCAACTCAACTACTACAAAATGTCTAAAACAGGTGATACTTCAGCCAACGAAAACCACCGCTCCGATCTATCCTCGTCCCCTCGCGCTATATCACAAAACGAGAATATGATTCTGAAAAACAGACAATTGAACCTACTAGTAGACATCCCAAGAAGATCAAATCCGCCACCAGTTTCAAAACGACCTTGTATGCGTCGAGGCCAGCTACACACATACGCTATGCAACCAACAGAGAAGAGAACTGAGGAGATGAAAACGTACTATCACGTGGGCCATGGAACTCCACATAGAATTCGCTCATTCCATCGTTCACCATCTCCACCTTGTAGTCACTCATCATGCTATCAAGCCACACGTTCTCGCAACGTCAGATTTAACAAAACTGCCGGATTCACCAAAATTTGACACCAAACCGAACAAAAAAGATAACACAATTCACGTTCCTGACTTCAAGTTGCATAACAAAACAGTCACCTCGCTGCCGCTACACGATTAGGCAAGGCAGCTTACGAGATGATATGAACCCAAACAAAAACCAAGCATAACCCAAAAATCTCCAAGAAATGAACGCTACATACATAAAAATCCACTTTTCTACTGATCACAACCATCCACATCCCAATCCTACCAATACCAAAAACTAAGCACTGAAACTACACCGCACCAAAACCACCAAAACAATTCCAACAAAAAGCAAACAATTAAACCAGGGGACTTACAGCTTCATCACGTCCATCTCCCGCCGCTTGCTTGGGGATGACATGATGCACTACGACAGCACCCACACACGAACACTCCCACACTTCCACACAACCTAAAACCCTCCCACCCACCCCTTCCTCACTACACTCCTTGTTGCCAACCCTCACGCACACCCTCAAAACGCTTCCAAATCCTCCTAATCAATTCCAAACATCAGCTCACGACCCTGCCCTGCTCTGCTCTCTACACCTCACCAACTCCCACAAAAACCCACCCAATAAACACACAGAACTATCAAGCCAAAGCCCACCAGCCCCTCGCCACCGGCAAGTGTCAAAGCCTTCTCAGAAAACAGAGTAACCAAGCAATGAGCGATGTAATGGCAAAGCAAGCATGTGCCCTGATTGAGCAAACAGCCGGGCACGAAGAGTAGATATTGACGCAAGGATCGATGCTCGTAAGCTTGCTTAAGCTGTAAACATCAACTTGCTGCTACTTATTCTTCTTCTTCTTCTTCGATCACCAGCACCTCCACAAAACATCTACTTACAAAATCGTCTCGCTTCTTCTTCGTCGTCGTCGACTTCGTCTTGTAAGCTTATATGCCCTCAGACGTCTTTTTTGTGTCTTTACTTTTTGACAAAAGCTACCTCGCGCCTTTTTGTAGTGTAGTGGCTTTGTGTAGTGTAATTTTTGAGAGAATCTAGGCTATAGTGGTTAAGATTCTTTTAGGGTTTTTGTTTGACCTCCCATATAGAAATTGGCATGAATTTTTGAGTGTGTCGTTTTTGAGGAAAAATTAGCATTGTGGGGTTTTTGAGTTTTTGGGTGCAAGGATGAAGAGTGGAGAACCATGGATTGCATTGTTTTTTAGCATTTTTGGATGGGTTGGGTGGATAGGTGGGTGGGTGGGTAGCAATGGTTGTTGTCATTGGTAAAGGTTGGGCTTGGTTGGCTTTATGCTTTTGAAAAGTCACAACTCTTCTTTGTTGAAAGGCTTTTGTGCTTGAATGGTAATGTGATGGTTGATCAAATAAGAAAAATGTTTTGGAAATGTGGTTGTGGATTTTTGATGTTTTACTCATGTTCTCAACTTTAATTACAAAATGTTTATGTTCATGTTCCTAGATGCTTATAAATAGAGAACTTTACTTTGATTCATATCCACAGCGCCATGAAAAAATTGTTCACAATATTTTAATAAATACATGTGTAGCTTAGGTTTTAACAGAATTCAGAAAATAAGTTGTGAGTAGGCTACTAGAAATGCAAAAATTCAAATCATATGAAAAGAAAAATTTTATACACATCACAACAACCTCATATCATGAAATTTGAATACATATATTTTGTAACTGCACTTCTGGTACTGGTATCTAATTCAAATCAAATAATCTAATCATATTATTACATTTTCTCAAAGCTATATTTGGTTTCTTAGGCTTCAAATGAAATCATGAACAGAACAGAAAGAAAAATAAGACAATGCCTAAGGTTGATTTGAATGTGTTGCGATCACGTAATACTAACTCTCATGAATAAAAAACCGAATAAAGAAAAACTAAAATTTTATCAAGTAATTTCTCACTACAACAAACACCCTCTGTTAATAGCTTTAAAAAATAAAATAAAATAGATATAACAAAGAACCATCATGGCTCACACGAAAAGCATCCTCACTGAAACATGAAAGTGGGTGGTATCTTGAAAATCAAAACATATCACAATCGCATATATAAATACAAATATATTAAAATGAAACACTACATTGCGACCCAAGAGCAATTGAAGATGTCAAACACAATAAATAATCTGTCAAAGCCATTTGGAGTTCCAATATGACCCACAAGAGTAGTGTGACCTCTTCGTCTTCTGCTTCTTCTTCAAGCAATGGTCCACATGAGACGATGCATTGTCAGATCTGTTTTTTGCTGCATTGCGTCGGCAGTTGAAGCTCACCAACGGAATCCTTTAGCTGTAAGCAACGACGGAGACACAACAGAAAAGGAAGAGGAAGGGGAAGCTTTGCACCCATCGCGCCTCAGGTCAACCATGACACACGATAAGGATCGATGTGTGATAAAGAGGATAATGCAGAATTAAATTTAGGACAGTTTATGTTAGGCTGGAAGCTCCAATCGAGTCTTATTGCTGACTCAAAGACCACCAAGTTGCGGTACAAGCCTACAATCAATGCCCCTGGTTAGCACGAGCACACGACGAGCTTTTGGGGAATCCGCATCGACGTCTGACAGCAAGCAATCCAGAGGCTAGGGATGTGAGTTTTCCCCTATCCCAATCATGGGTTTCGCACATATTTTGCGGCTCGAGTCACTCCGTCCTGGTTCGTGACCATTTCGGAATCAAGCGCGTGGATGCGGGACAGCTTTTTTTTACCTGGCCTTCGAAGGTGGAGGATACAGTAGCCGAAAGCTCGAATCGAGAATTGGCCTTTTAAAGAATAAAGAATAAAAAATAGGACGCAAGTAAAATTACCCAGAAACAAAAACATAAACAAGTCAGAGATTTTAGGTTCAGTTAAGGTTATAACACCAAATCTTAAGGAGAATCGAATACGCTAATGATTGTGTCGCACGCGCAAATGGTTTATCTGATAAGATAGAAACGTCTTTTTTCGTTGTGCTGTTCAGGTCTGTGAGTCCCATGGCTTCTACTCTTCCACTGGTGAGAGTGTACCCAAAAGCACCGCTACTTGGTATCAGTACCACAGTCTCGATTAGTACATGCAAAAGTAAAAAGTAGGGAGCTTGAGATGGTTGAACGGAGGAAGCCACTCAAAAAGAATAAGAATCCTGGATTTGAGCGATTTCTAGATCTGTGTGCACACCAGAGCTCAAGAAACGCAAGATGGCTTATCGACTTTTGTGGTCATAAATTGGAGTTGCAACCTCCAACAAGACCCGAGATAAGAAAGGGCGAAACCGACGATCACAAGAGTGGCCTCCTGGGAAAGAACAGTTAACTTGTGGAACACCCACTCCAAACATGAGATGGTCATCTGGAGCCCAAAACCCAATGATTGACATAGTCAATGCCTATACGTTATTCGCCCGTCCTCAGTGCATGGAGCTTTAAAAAAAATTAGTTGCACGCAAAAAATAGGAGCCGAAATTAAAGCTACAGCAATTTCTTGCTGTACAAACAACCAAAACTTCAAACCCTCAGGTCTGTTTCGAGCACTTGAAACTCAACATGGAAGAAGACGAGTACGACAATGGATTCGCCCTGTTGTACTCGTCGTCTGGACACCCTGCTGTCGTACTCGTCTTCTGAACACTCTGATGACGACTTCTGTCCTGTAAGTTCCATTCCAGAATGGGTTTGTCCTTGTCGAGAGTGTCTTTGTGGTGGGTATCATTGTCCAGCTAGCTCGTGCCCATGAAGCCAGAGTGAACACCAGTAATCAATCATGCCAGAACGCTCCCATAATTAAGTACGTGAGATCTGGACATCATCAGTTCAGATCAAAAAAGACAATATCTAAGTCACGCAAGACACGCAAGCTCGTAACTAAATGAGACCCACGAGCTCCAACCCTCACTCGAAGCTTGCCCCAGAACCCATGATCCGAATACTACCACTGGCAAGTCAAGTAATATGAAGACCTGACAATTGGGAAAAAAACTGCCATTTGCCTGCTCAAGGTCCGCGCCGATGGTTGCGTGATAGCGATGTACAACATCCGGAGTTCAATAGAGAAGTTATCATTCCCAAAATGTCTTGCACAGCCACTTTCAACATGTGACGAAAGTAAGAGCTTCTCTAGCATGTTGAGCCAACGGCGTTATAAAAACAAAACTCCACTCCAGGATAACTAGTGTCAGTGATGAGCCATTGAATTAAATCAGTCAAGGAGCAAAGAACCACATCATCCAGATCAGACACATAATAAGACAAGAAGCACAGATAGCACAGAAAGTGGAAAGTGAAGTGCTTGGTAACATGGCTCAAATTTCTGATTGCATTAAAGCTGTCCATATAGACTAACAGTTCAACGTACGTCAACTTATTGCTCAATGTCAGTACTACACATTTGCACAGTAACGCTGATGAAATATCACTACAATAGGAATCATGTGCTACTTATTATCCAGTAGCATGGTAAGTTAGTTCAGAAGGATTGCGTATGTTCTTCATACAATTAGCCAATCGTATAAGTGAAACATGACAAGCAAGAAAAAGATGAAGTTTTCAGCCCACTAAAAACTACTTTGTGAATCTCCAACTCAAAAGCAAACCTTTCATTTACAAACGCCTATCCAGAAGAGTTCCAAGCGGCCAAAGTTTCCCTAACTACATTAGCACCTAAATAGCTTGAACTCATTTGCCATGATATTTATGATTTAGCAACAGTTTCCAGAAACCTGTTGCAAATGAGTCCTAAATTGAAGAACAAGTAAAGAGGCAAAAGGTCCTGACCTCATTTTCCAACAGTGATAGTACACTAGAAGTGTGTCAATACGTGGGAATCCGATTATCCACTTTGACAGAATAAGCATGAATTCCCCCACTGATATTGTACAACCTTGTAAAACCCTGCAAGCGGAACGAACGTGTTCTTAAGACTATTACAGTAAAAACCTGAGACGATCAAGCAGATAGTCCAACCACGTAACTAAAAATCGGTGACGCTGACTGATTTCCATAAAAATCGCTCGTTACAAAAAGTACACTGTTTTGGTTTCGTACCTGAGATTTCAGCCAATTGGCAGCCTGTAAAGATCGCATGCCGTGATGACACTGCAGTGATAACACACAATGTGAGAATCATATCATCGTCAAAAACAGGTGCAGTTCCACTAAAATTGTTGAAATTCGCGGCAGTTTCAATTAATTATTCATTTAGGAAGTGGGTGGGTATTTACTTCCAAAGCTTCTTCATACGGTTAATCATCCTGCATAACAAAGATGTGAATTTTCTAGCGCAACGCACAGCTTACCAGCACGAAAGTATCCTTAGATGGATCAAGATCCTCTGCAACTGTTGGTGCCCATTTTCCAAATTGACTTAGAGGATACGATTTGAACCCCTCTATAGATGCCGTTGCTCTGTTGCAAACACAGTTCTAGAAGTAAGACGTATACACGTGCAATACAACTCATCAGAACCAGCGGCTGTGCTTACGGGTACATAAAAATTAAATTAAAATTGAAAAAAATGGGACTCAACCAAGTTGTTAAAGACCATGAAATTTTCTTCACAAAAGGAAAACATATGCCAAAACACTATATTTCCAGAAGATTTTGAAGTAAAATGTGAGGATAGCATTTATCAATTACATTTCGTCAGGCTCTCGCACGTCTAGAAGTTGAGCGTTTTGCAAAAATTCAGGATCCTCCATGTTCGTACTCAACTCTTGAACGTCTATATCACGCAAGAAGCTAGCTTCCCTGTGAAATGAATGACCGCGTCAGAACAGGTCCAAACTTGCTAAAATCATCAGTCCAACCCACACACTAATTAGACTAGGTAACAAAAGACACAAGTTCAAAGCATTTTCGATTCTTAAATTTCGAAAGATTTTGATGAATGTCAAAAAGAGAAGTTGTAGAAAGAACGGACCGTTCTGACAGCACTTGCAGGAGATGCCAGCCGTGTTTTGTTTTGACGCGAACCAACTTATTCAATGGAGCTTTGAAAGCTGCCTCCTCAAATTCCGGCACCTGATTGCAAACACAGAAGTCATTGCGGAAAATTACATGGGCTTTTCACGTACAACACTTCCACAAAAAGTCTTGACTATCATCAGATTAAACGACGCAGTGAGACGAAAAATGATGTATACATGTTTTGGGCAGATTCTAGTAATGACCGAATCTAACATATCAGTGCGTAGCTGAACAAAGCTAATGAATGAAAGGACCAACACTAATTTTATCAGGATCTCCAAGTGACTTCAAACTTTTCAAGAAAATGAATATCAAGACTTACAGTTCGACCAAGAGATATCCACCCCAGCATTCCTCCGACATCCTTAGAAGCGCAAATGGAGTGCTCCGCTGCCAAATCGCTTAAATCCACTCCATCTGTGAAGCGAGCACATCCGAATCATCATGATTATACAATTGCCTTTATCGTCACAGCAGCTGACATAGACCATTAAAGTGAATTCAACCGACTGCTGTACCCTAAACGCTGGCAGTTTCTTTCAACACAGTTTTCAATTGCATCGCTCATGGAATTACACTTTGAGAGATGGGATTGTCCATAAACATACATTAAATCTTGGCTCGGAAGAAAAACAAAACTCAAGGAAGAGACCTTGCATAACTTGGCGCTGAATGTCCAGCAGCAACTGAAGCTGGTCCTCCGGTACTAACAAATGCTGCACTAAAATCTCACGCTCCTTAAATTTGGTGCTTCCAGCATCACTCGACCTCCCCACAGCTTTGACATTACCTGCATTGCATAGACATCCGTTCAACATTTTTTCAGACCTTGACAGACCATATATCAATCACAATAATAGAAGCTTGTGGCAATTGTCAGTGGCAAAAAATTTCCGGGGGTAATACTCAAAATACCTGAAGAAAAAACCCTACAATTCGCACAATCCATCAATCAACAATCCTCGCATCGGCAAGAACTACGTAAACATACCAAATGTAATGTTGCGCTGCTCCTGTCTCAACATCGGAGCAATACGAAAACGCAGCGGGAGGAAGCTGAAAGAGCGAAACGTAAGGGGAGAATGAGGCGACGGGCACGAAAGTGGAGAGGGACGAGGCAGATGAGCTGAGGCAAGACGGCATTGCGAGGAAGAAGCGATGGCCAAAAGACAAGACGTGGTAGGCAGCGAAGATGTCCACAATCTGGCCATCTCTACTACCCTGCGGAGCGCCAATAATCGCAGCAATCAATTCCAAGGCAGCAACCACAGTGTTGGTCCTTCAAAACATGGCAGAAGCACAAGACCTGCAGCAGAGGCGATGAGTAAAGACTTGTGTCGATATCTTCCCAACCCAGGACGAGGACGAAGAGGAGGATTAGGAAGGATATCGAAGGTTTAGGGCTTCTGACACTTGGATGTACGGATCCCAGCATTCGTTGAGCTTGTTCACGGAAGTCGTTATTCCGTGCATTACTTGGAGGATGATTTCTATGACTGTGGGCGAACGAACAGAATTATTCGTTCTTAATTCTAGGAGAACGTTAAAAATTCCTAAATATCAATAAAGTCAACAACTTGAACAAGAGTGAAGTTATATTGATAATACAAACCCGACAAACAACCCATACAATGGTTCCTAACTTACTATCCACCGCTTAATTGCTTGGGTCCTTGAAGTGGAGGTTTTGATATATGACAATACAGTTTGTATTGCATTTATTCCAAAAATTGCCTTAACTTTAAAATATATTATTTTTCAAGCAGTAGCACCAAAGCGTGTAAAAATATTGTTGCCAAGTGATAGATGTGAGAATGCTTGATTGTCAAAGACAAGGACTTGAATAATGTAATCATATAGGTGGGATGTCGTTTTAAAGAAAGAAAACATAAAGAGAATGAAAAAGTATGTATATTCAAGAAAAAAATTGGAATAACTATTATTGAAGGTAAGAAAAGCTACAGACTCTTAAAAATTTTAGAAGCATAAAAAAGATTAATGTACAAAATATTCCAACCTATTTAGACACCACTTTGATATTAAGACATCTTCTATCTCAAATTCTTAATTCTTGTCTACTTTTATAATGTAAAGTGATATCTATCTTTTACTTGATATATCCATTGTCTTCTATAGATTAAAAATAAATAAAAAAATACATGGAACGTAAGATGAATCTTCATAAATTTTAGTAGGTATAATTGATACGCAATTTATTTTATCTGTTTATAAATAAAAAATAATCTAAGTTTATAGTAATCCAACTTCTTACATAAGCAAATAGTTTTGATATTACAATAAGGCAACCATACCTTTTTGCAAACATAAAATTGAGGTTGTTTTTTATGATAGATATTTATTTTGATTATTTTTTTGTTTGTGAAATTATATGTATGAATGATTTTTTAGATCTTTTGCCATAGAATTATCAATTCTTGAAAAGTCAAAAATATCAAGTCAAAATTCATAATTAGCATTGAAAGGTGATTATCGAATAAAAAAATATATTATATAATTATAGGCAAATTCTACTAATGACAAAAGAATTGTCCAATTATCTTAATGGTAGTTGATGGTATATCTCAAATAATAGTCTACTACTTAATTTTCTTATTTTTTTTGTCCATTAATTTAAAGATAGAAGGCCAAAAATAGTTTTATTTCAACCTTTAATATTTCAAAAAATAATTTTCAAAATCTTGATATAAATTGAACTCATCTATTTGATATAATATTCATTAGCAATCTATGTTAGTAATAAGTATTTTCAAGAAAGTGTCTAGTTGTTTCTTTATATATAATAGATTTTTTAAATAATAAAAAATATGCCATCCTTATGAAACAATCTACTATGACAAATATATAATCATATGAGCTTGAAATTCAAAGATTTGTGTTAAAATCTACATAAACATATGACCTTGGTTTTTTTGATATAAGTAATGGTTGAAAAAGTCCATAAGTGAAATGACAATGAATCTTTGATTTTGAGGAAATATCACATGATTGTATAAAGTTTTTAATTACCTTCCATATTTGAAACTACTAAAAATCTCTTGATATTAATTCCAAGGTCTTGTTATATTAACATTATTCTACAATTAGAAAATTTTAACAAACTTAAAAGGCATGTAATTATATTTTATCTTTTGACTATACTTAATCAAAAAATATTAAATTAAAATTTAATATTAATTATATTGCTTAAAGATAAAATTACTTTATTTTCAAAAAAAATATTTATTGTTGATAAAAAAAACTATATCTTTTTTTTGTTAAAAAATAAAAACTTTAATAAATGACATATAAAAAGTCTTGTTTTTTTCTTAGTAGATAAGTGAACTTGAATTTAAATCTTGATAAGAGTATGCTTCAATAGACTTGGCAATAATTCAAAACTTGTGCCAATATAAAATACTTAAGGTTATTATTATTTGTATAAAAAATTAATAGTCTTAAAGTACCTTCCAAATAATGACACTATTCTTGAAATGAATCCATAATTGAAAAAAAATCTTTATTATAAATCTTCTAATTAATCTTAGTAATTAAAATATTTTTTGAATAAAAAGATATAAGGTGAAATTTGTTATTTATTCCCATTTATAATAATGCAACATATAAGGTAAAGTAAAATATAATTATTTCTATAAATAATACCTTCAAGAAATCAATACAAATAAGATTGGTGTTGTGATAAAATTTGTCTTTAAAATTTCAATTGCTAATTAATTATTTTATTTCACTTGAATTTATCTTTACAAATCAAATGTGTAAGTAAAGTTGCAACTTGAAAATAATTCTTGATAAAAATCAAATAATTATTAGTTAATTCTAAAAAATATTAGATGTCTCTTATTATTTTTGAATTTTTTTAATCTATGATAGTTAAAATGTTTTTAGGATCCATCATAAGATTGTCATTTAAGATTATATATCCTAAAAAATTAACTTGAGTTGTAAGAAATACACACTTTTGTATCTTGTCATATAGTCTTATATCTCTAAGTTTTTGTAATACATAAAAGATATAAAGTTCATACTCTTTTGTGTTTTTAGAATAGATTAAAATGTTGGTTAGATAAAAAATAACAAAATTATCTAATTTTTTTTTTGAAAATATCATTTATTAGATGTCAAAAAATAATTAGTGCATTTTTGAATCTTAAAGACATGATATTATATTTAAAATACTCATATGCCATTTGAAATAAAATCTTTCATTTATCTCCTTCTTTAATGGATAATAGGTGTATGTTCTTTGTAGATCTATTTTTGTATAGATATTTGCTTGATTTAATTAGCCAAGAAGTTTTAATATCAAAAGTAGATAGTACCTATTTTTGATGATAATCTTGTTTAATCTTTGATAAACATCTATAGCGATCTATTTTTTTTTCACAAATAAAATAAGAGTTCTTATTAGAGATTTTGAATGGAATATAAAGTTCTTGGCCAAATGCTTATTGATGTATTCTTTAAGTAAAGTCAACTCATTTTAAGATAAATTGTAGATTGATTGAAATTGTAGTTGAACTCCTTGAAGATCATTTGAGCAATCATAAGAAAAATACTTCAAAATTATATCTACAATTTTCTTTTCAAAGCCATTTAGATAAAAAATTATATTAGATTAGAATATTACTTGATATATTTTCCTCATCAAAGGTAGGTGTGTCATGTAAGTATAAAATTTACATCTCAATCAAAATTACAAGATAGCATCAATTAAAAGTTTTTTTTTGTAGTTTTAGTATGAACTAAAAAACAAATATAACAAGAAAAAAGAAAAATAATACAAAATATATGAAAGAATTACAATCAGATAATTATACACTATAAAATTAATCATTTTTTGATAATTAGATTTTCATCTATTATAAAAATATTAATAAAAAATTATTAGATAGATAATTTAACTATGTTTTTAATGGCATAAGAAATATACATCTTCAAATTATAATAAATAAGTTATTATGGTTTAAATTTAAAAAATAAATAATTAAAAAAATTATGTAAATTAATTTTATCTTAAGATTAACTTGCTTAAAAATCAAAGATTTGAATCTCACCATTATTCATAAGTAGTCTATATATGTGTCTTACAGTGGCCATAAGGCCTTAGTCTTATCTTCCTACATATATTTAAGGTGCTACAATCCATGTGTAACTTGTGCACCACCCTTTTTATAAGGATTATACTAGTTGCTATTCTTGCTATTTTGTACTAATAAAACTATTTTTTGTGCATTTTTTACCTCATTGTGGTGTTAAAAAATATTCAATTAATTTAAGAAACTTAAGAATCTTTCAAATATTACTCCATTTTTTCATAATGGCATCTCAAAGTGATATATATATATATATATATATATATATATATTTATTTTATTAATCAAAGTCTTAAAAATTATTCTAAAAATTACTAAATAATTATAAATTAATTCTAAAAAATTCTAAAAAATCTTAAAATAATTTTACATTACTATTAATAATTTAAAGCTATTTTTTTACTTTAATTTTTTGATAGTAATAAAATTATTTTAAATTAATTAAATATTTTATATAAAATTAAATAAATATGAGAATCTTTTTTATACTTTTATATACTTATAAATAATAAATAAAGATAAAAAACTAATATAGATGTTTTTAATAATTTATTATTAATACTAAATAAAAAATAAAAATTGAGTGTTACTAAGAATTTACTAAGCTTTTAATTAATTAATATCCATTAATGAGCTTTGTATATGGTGACCATTTGAAACTATTTGTGAAAATAGAAAAAACTCTACTCTTGTTTTTGATATAGTTTATAAAGAAAAGAATAGAAGAACTCACAAAAATTGATACTGCAATCTACTAGAAGAAGAAGAGTATTAAAAAAAAAAAAAAAAAAAAAAAAAAACACTCAAACTATAACCAAGAAAGTAAAAAAAAATTATTTATATTTAATTCAACATATCTTTATATGTAGCAACTTCTTACTTAGTCACTAGTTCAATATTGTATAGCATCTAAACTTCTATTAAGATTTGAAATGGAGACTACACAATTGTAAATCCATAATAACTTGATCTAATTCTATATTAAAGATATGAATTACAAACAATCAAGAAATTAATACATTCTTGCATTATCAAAAAATAGTAGATAATTACTCAAATTTAGTATAATATTAAAACTAAAATAACTATTTTCAAAGAAAAAATGACTAAGGATTCTTGAAACAAGATTAACAAAAAAATAAAAATAAAAATAACACGTGCAAAAAAAGCCTTACTTTTATCTGTATATATACCAACTAATAAAGAATTATGTGGCAATATTCTATGGGACTTTGGCGCGTCTCAAACTTGCAAGATATATCTTTAATTTACAAGACAAGTTTCTTATATGCATGCCATATGAGCAACTTGTATCATAAATTGCTAATATATATATAAGATGTAGCCAACTTATTTGCTTGGTTTTCAACAAATCAATCATCTATAGACATGTATAAAGTCAAATTCCATCTAAAAAGCTTACAAGAAGGTTTTCTAATATAAATTATAAAATTTACTTGCTTCTATTTATTTCCATGAAACTTTTCTAATCTAGATAATAAATAATATAAATATGTATGTTTGTAACAATATCTTTTTTTTAAGACAAATTCTACAAAGAACAATGATTATATATCAAAGAAGTGCAAGATATGAAAAATTATAATTGCTTCATACTATGATCTTTGTTTTCTTTGAACGTAGTTGATAGATCCTATTAACCATTAATATTGTCTCATATTAGAGCAAAAAAACACACCCTATTAATTGAGGCTTTCATAACTTTCTTCAAATAAATCATTTCAAATATCATCAAAGATATTTCTTACTTTCAATAATATCATCAAATATCAAGAGTCTCTTCAAAGGTTGTAATAATTTCAATGCTTTATTTGTTAACTTATCAAACGATAGCTCTCAAATTGAATTTGTTGGTTGTTAATTTTTCATCTTTTTATTGCCACAAATATATAGAAACTACAAACAAGAATAGAGTATGTAATGCAATCTTTATTAAATCTTATTTCTTTTATAGCAAAGAATTGTTCAATTCATTATTTTGATTTTGATGGATGTTGTCAATATAAAGCTTAAATCTTATTTGTTGCATTTGTAAGATTCTTCACTAGCTTCTATGTCTGTTTATTAATATCAAATCTATGCCATTGTACAAGTTATTTCAACCTATTTTTACACCACTTTGAATCAAAAACTTCTTGAAGCTCGAACTCTTTATTGTTATTTACTTCTTTAGGAAGAAGTGGTATTTTTTATTTTTTTGGTAAATCCATTATTTTATATGGCTCAAAAAGAGACATGTAGAATACAAATTTGATCTTTATAGATTTTGGTAGGTGTAATTAATAAGAAATTAGATTTTTTGTTTATAAAAAAGAAATGGTTCAAGTCTATAGTAATCTAACTTTTTATAAAAGTAACAAGTGTCAATATTACAACAAAGTAATCATTCTTTCTTTTCAATGTAGAATTGAGGTTATTCCTTACAATAAGCATCTATATTGATTTTATGTTGTTCTAGAGCTTCTTTTAATTCTACCTTCATTGTTACATGTAGCTTTAATAAATAATTTGCTAAAATCTTTTATAGTAAGATCATCAATTTTTGAAAAGTCAAAGGTATCAAGTTATGAATGATAACCATAATTAGCATAAAACATGATTGTTGAATAGATAAATGAATAATTTTATCATTAAAAAAAATACCCCCAATGGCAAAATAATTGTCTAATTATCTTAATGGTCGTTGATGGTACATTTTAAATACTGTTTCAAAACTTGATTCATTCGTTTTGTTTGTCCACTAATTTGAAGATGAAAAATGAAAGATAATTTTATATATAAATTCTATATGTTTAAAAATGTTCCTAAAATCCTTAATATAATTTGAGTTCTTTTATTTGATACAACATTCTTTAGCAATTCATGATAGTTCTAAATATTGTCAAAGAAAAGTGTATTTGTTTCTTTATTTATAAGAGTTTTTATACATAGTACAAATTATGTAATTTTAGTAAAATAATCTAATATTATTAATATAAAGTCACAAGAACTTGAAATCAAAAGATTTATGTTAAAATCTATAGAAACAAAAGACCACTATTATTGTAGTATATGTAATGGCTAAAAAAGTCTATAGAGTTGATGACAATGAATTTTTGATCTTGAATAAATATCACATGATTGTACAAAGTTTTTAAAAGCCTTCTACATTTGATGCCACTAAAAATCTCTTTATATTAACTTCAGGTTCTTATTATTTCCAAAATATCCTACAATTAAAAAATCATGATAAACTTGAAAAGCACATAGTTATGCTTCATCTTTTAGAACATATAAGCATCTTTTAAAATAAAAAATAACTATTTATCATTAATTAAAATTTACATCTCATATTAAAGTTTTAAAATTTCTATAGGGATAATGTTACCAAGCATTGCACTTTAACAATCTATTAGTCACGCAATGAAGGGGCTATCCAAGTATGTCTTTATTTCTTTTTTAAAATTTCTACAAGAATTTTTATTAATGATGAATAAGCCCACCATATTTTATGTAAATAAAATAAAATAAATAAATAAATTTATATATATATATATTACAACATTATTTCTAATATGATATTTAAGATATTTTGGTATTATAATACTATTTAAATAATATGTACTAATTTTTATTATTATTTAAATTTTTAATTAATTTTTATATCAGTTATATTTTAAAATATTAAAATTATTTTTAATTACTAAAATATGGATATCAACTTTTTTACAAATTTAATTTTTAAATAAATAAATAAACAAATAAATTTAAAAGCTTATGTATATTGATACATATTATTTGTAAAAATGGAATAAACATAAATAGAAATCAATAAATAAATTTAATATATCTATATATGTATGTATATATATATATATATATATATATATACATACATTAAATTAAGTGTCTAAATCTAATTAAAATTTATAGCTGTTAAATTTTTAAATATAGATTTTTGAGCTTAATTATTTTAAATTAACAAAAAATCCTATTTAAGTAATAAGCAAAATTAATTTAATTAGCAAGTTTAGAAGTTTTTTATAATTATTTGAATAATTTATTCTTATATATACACACCCATTTCACATTTAAAACAAAAAAAGTAATATTTATTGATATTTTAAAATACAATTCATTATTTCTAAAGTTAATGAAAATATATTATCATTAACCAAAAAACTAAATAACATGTATATTTTCATTTTAAAGATAAATTTGTATTTTTTAAATCTTCTAATATCAATTAAATATAATTTTTTATTTCTTTAATAAATACAAAATGAACTAAAAATTGTTTTATTTATAGTTTTAAAGTTTACTAATTGATATAAATATTTAATTATTTAAATGATTTTTTTAATAAGTTTAGATTTTTTAGTATTTTTAGTATTTTTAGTATATGTATTTAAAATTTAATTTTTAAAGAAATTCCTAATTATTCAAATTCAAAAAAAATTATTATACTATAATATAAATTACTTTATGGTCTAATTTTGCATTAATAATATCTGATATAGTGTTTGTGCTTTGTAGATTTATAGCATTATATTGTATACATTTGAATTTTTTTAATTTGATTAGAAATTTAATACATAAATATGAAGGTTTCAAAATAGAAATATTTATATTTTAAAAAAAAATACCTCTCAATAGTAAAAAAAAATTAACATGTTGGAAAAATAAAAAATTTGTTCCTAATATCTAAATGATTTAAATAACATATAATAAAGATCACTTAAGGTCTTTTCTTCAAGATACAAATATATAACCATTGTTACATTTTTTCTTGGTATTTTTAAACTCTCTCTCTCTCTCTCTACATATATATATAACCCATTGTATCTTTATATGTACGAAGTTCCATAAATAACCTTAAAAGCTGATTTATCAGAATTAAATGTGACAAAAAAGCATCAGTATTTCGAAGTGGGAAACTATCGTTGCACAACTTGCAGCAGCTTCATGCATGCAAACAACTGCTTTCGTATAGAAGAGAATGTTGCTACAGTTGCAACAACTTCTTGCTTCAACAACGAAACAATTAAAGTACAAAACAAAAAAAATCTAAAACAAATCGAAACAAAAATAAACGCACAATACAAGAGCAACTCGGAATCATTTTTTGAATGGATGCACTAGTTACCGACCGATTTTCTTTCGGAGATATTTTGGAAATTGGTCATGAACCCCAAAGCAACTGACGTGAATTCTGTAAAAAAATTGGTTCATGGACGGCATTCACCGTAACGATGATAGAGTGCTCAAGATTCATGAAACATCGAATTGCTCTTGTATCGCCCACCATGCAATCTCCCGACTTGATCATCACATTAGATCACGACTGCAACAGCGAGGTTCCGGAGCTGAGGAGTCGCACTAACTTCGCTTTTCTGTGAAGAGTGGAGCTGCACCTTCGCATGGACCTACCAATCCAGACTCCTTTCGTCAGGGGCACATGCAATTTACACCTGCACCTTGCCAGGAGACTCCACAGCCATAGCAAAAATTATGCCCGCATCTGCGTTGAACGAGGAAAACATTCGATGCGGTTAAAGTTTGCAGCTCAATTTTTTAAACAGTACACAACACCTGAAAAGAAGATATGCGAATTTGGGTCTGAAATCTGACTTGGTCCTCTACCAATCCAAGAAGATGACCCATGTCTGAGATATATCTCCTGGAAGCATCGTAGAATTCCGTGCAAAAGTGAAGTTACTCTCGGTGGAAATAATTGCATTAGTGGCTAGGGTAGACTAGCTGTCAAATGTAGAAGAGTACTGAGGGAGAGCTTACCGACATTGCATGTGAGAACAACCACCACTTCGTTCAATGACAGTTCCGCACTTACTGCAACGTTGCCACTTGGATTCTGCAGCCATCATGAGGAGCTTCTCATCCCCCAAAAGGCGCTGGTTTTTCTGTGACGCATTGTACTCTCCGCAACTCATGGCCTCATGCCAAGCTATATTGCACTGAAAGCAGAATGCACGGTGGCAAGCTCCACATTTCACCTTGCTGAAGTCACTTGGGTGCTGATCAGACGAAGTCTGTGGCTGCTGGCCGTGGGTACTGGGCTTAGTGGCCATTTTTAAGCAATCTTTGAACGGACAGTAAATGATCTCGGAAGCAGGGATGTAAGATTCTCTTCTTCTGCTTATTAAAATGTCGAGGGTCTTCTTGTCTAGAAGTGACGTCAACTGTCTGCGGGATAGGGTTGATGGGCATTTGACTTGCAAACAAGTAATGTGTATTTTTCCATTGGCAATTAACGTCATTGCATGACTTGAGACACATTGCTGGCAGTACTGATGTCCACATCCTATGTCGTGATTGATAGCAAGGAACTGTTATTTTGAAGTTGAGAACTACGATATGCAGATAAGCTGAAGCACGACACCAAATTACACTGCTAATATATTGACTATCCACCATTGTTGACATACAATCAAATAAACAATAATTAACACAATTACCATTTAGAGTAATAAAAGGTCTTTGCTCAGGTGTGGCATCAAAGCAGATCTGACAAAGGTTCTGGGTATCTTCATCGTCTGCCTGGTTGGCTCCCCGATCGTCCTCAAGTTGTGCCATCCGAAAGAAACTTTCGAGGAGTTCCTCATCGCTGCTATCCTCCAGTATCCTCTTTCGTTTCCCATCCTGCTCCATGCCCGAGTGGTATACCCTAAGCTTCAAACCACGGTTCCTGGATGTCCCTGGTTCGGAACTTTGCACGCGTCGTCGGGACTTCCTCTCGTCATGGCAACTAAGCCCACTTGTTTTCGGACACCAAAATTCCATCGTTTGAATCACATATGTTTCGAATTGATCATCAACGACTTCATCAGTAACCAGCACAAATTGAGTACCCTCTTCCAAGTGTGCTAATCTATTGATCTCAATTACTGACAACAGCGTCTCCTCCAACTGTTCAACAAAGGTTTCAAGCTCTTGACAGGCCACTTCCAACGCCGCATCAAAATTTACGTCCCAGTTTGCATGCGAACCTGAGTCCGATTGACACTGTTCCAGGTTCACTCTGATCTCTGATGCCTCCATCACAGACACCCTCACGGTTTCCTCCACTTGCAAACGAAACGCCAACTCTTCATCTCTGCCTTGCAAAATGACCTTGGCCATCTCCACCGCCTGCATCTTAGTAGCCACAACCCACTCCATCGCTGGATGATTGAAGAGCAAGGACCTGATTCACCAGAAATGAAGATGGCATATCGGAGACTGCAGCTAGAAAGTGACAAATTTAAGAGCATGTTTGAACTGGGTGTACAGCTTAAGCTTGGCTGATGGTTGCAAGATGGGAGAGGAAGATGGTGTCCATGCAGGAGGACAAACCATCAGTTGAAGAGCTGGAGGGTAAGCTGCAACGGTGTCTGCAAGGACTAGGGTCCAATTCTGCCTCGTCTTGACGCATGCGTTGCTCTTGGGTAGGTTATTATTCTTCGTTTCATTTGATTTGCCATTTCTGTTTGATGATCGCACCAAGTGTGCGCCGTTCTTCCGATGTTGACTCTTGTTACGTGTTGTCACGTTGTGTCCATCATTCATTTTGCTTGAAAAGGGACTTTCGTACCCAACTTCTTCACGGTCTATGAGGTTTTAGTCCAAGTTTTGGTTACAAATCACAAACCCTACACTCCTATTGTCCTACCATCATCACATTGTTTAATAATAAAATTGCAAAAGGACATAAAGAAAATTTATGGTTAATATAAAAGAATTAATAATGACAATAATAAATCTTGTAGTAGTGATGTATGTTCACAATTGTGTTTTGAATAGGTAATTTTTAATTTTTTTAAAGAATATAATTATAAGGTAATTTTACGTTAATTTTTATATTTACAAATTGATCAGATAAGTCATTACAGGAATAAACATTGGAGAGATGAAGAAGTCCTCTTATTGGCTAATATACAATGTGCATGTTAAGTAAATTTTTTATGAGGTTAAACTAAAGAATGCATGTATTTATTAGAGTCTTTGCATCACAAAGGGAAAATTTTTGCATGCATGCATGCATGCATAAATAAATAAATTTCTATGCATAAAGGATTTAATTATAATGTGTAGGATGATAATGTATATTAAAGGAATTAGATTTACTTATCTTGAAAGACATGAAAATAAACACATAACTACTAATATAATATTTATTAAAATTTTATTTAAAATTAGATTTACATGTGTAAATTAGTAAATATACACAATATTTATTATATATTTTTTATGAAATTTTAAATATATAACTATAGTTTGTAAAAATAATTAATTAGAATTTTATTTTCATTCAAACTTTGGTTTTTGGAAAAATCTTTGTATTAATATATAATTTATAAGTAGTTTTTGTATCTCTAATAATTTGGTATTGTAGTGAAAGTTAAAGTAGAGGTGGTTAAAAAAAATTATATTAAATTTATGTACTTTATTATAATACATAGCATACTAAATTATATATATATATCTATATATATATATATATAATTAAATAATATTAGATAGTAAAATTGAAATAATAAATGACTATAATGCATTTAGTATATTTATTACTATATATAGTGAACATCTCTCAATAAACTCCTTCATGTAAGGACTTCTTCTTCATGCATAGAAAAAAAAATCCCTCTTTGTCAAAACTGAAATTAATTTAGTACATAAATTATTGTAGTTTTGATGATAAATTATAAAATGTTACATGTTTTATAGTTAAAAAATTTAATTAGTATGATGAAACTAGTTTTAGAACTGGAGCCAATGTTTAAATAATTAAATTAAATTAAATTAACTATTTATTGCTGACATAGACTTGTACAAGCAATTTAAGCGAGGAACATTAGAGAGAGGAAAGATAAAATAAACTATAATCCAAATCAAGACTAGAGCGAGTGAGAGATTAGACAAAAGAACAATTGCAGCATGGATTAAATGGGTTCTTAAGAAGTTGAATCCATGGAAAAAATATTGAATACGATGGGTGATACTTACAAACAAGGATAATAATTTAGCTATGAACCAGTAAATGAGAACATTTTGATTGAGGAGAAAAATAGAAAATATGGAATTAACAATAACCCAAACCAAGGAGGGCTGTAGTACCACTGACAGAGATTCAAAAAGTTTGGCTGGATATTCTATATTTAATATTTCTGTGTATCACTCTACTCTGCCTCTTATAGATTTGTTCGACTAAGTTTTACTCTGCAACCTGTTGGAACTCTACCACTGCAAGTTTTTGTACAAAACCAGGATGTGTCAAATGTTAGATAAATCAGTGGCAAAAGTAGATTAGGAAGATGGGCAAATATTTGAATGATCACTTCTAGTATAGCCTTAAAAGAAATACTTGAAGTGTATTTGAATGGAGCTTAAACGAAAAAAAAATTACATATAAAAAAAAAACAACAAAATCAGCATCTTGCTTAGATCTATAATTCAATGGTAGTGGATTGTGGCAGAGTTCACCCTTTGTCATCTATGGATGTATCACTTTTGGAAAATAAGGGCAACTGTGTCGGTTTGAGGGACTTATGGCATTTTGCAAGTCTGATGTCCCGAAATTTCATAGGATTACAAATGTGAGGTTAATGATCTACAAGAAGAGTGGAACTTTTTTCTGATTCTAGCGTTTTTAACTGCAAAAGGGTCAGATTTTACTGCAACCCTGGTGGGTGTCATACACGATCGTGACAGGCTGCATACTTGCTTTCATAAACAAGATTCATTTTGCAACGAGGACAATGGTTCTTATGGACGTGCTTCATATCCTCATGGCTGAACGAGTTTCTGTCGGTTGAGTATATATTCAAACTGACACACCGAACGCTCTGCCTTCCTGCCCGCATGATCTGCTCAGCAATTCTCTGATTCACTGAAAAAGGTTGAAATCCTAGAAAACCAACCTCTGCTTATGCTCACATCATTCGCGAATGAGTTTGTTTTTAGCATAATGAACTTATTCTTTTACAAACTAGCATTGTGGAAGAGAAGGACTAGAGCTAAGTTAGGATTTTTTAAGTAGTAACATGAGACATACCTCGCTACTTGAAGCACGTACATTCACAGGAACTAGGTGTCTATAGAGGCACTTGCCCTGAGTGCCTAGTAAATTATGCAGAACCTGGTGACTTTGCTCGGCAAGACTGACGCCAGCTGAATTGTGTACCTTTGGCCCCTTTCTGAGTTTGTTTAGTCTGGTGAGGGCAGTTATGTATCATATATGAACCCATGTCTGTTTCCCTACAAATCCCATGTTTTAAGAATATTTTGCAACAGATTTTGCCACTTTTAGCAAGTAGTGGACCGATTTCCTGCAACACAATGTGTACATTTTATGGAATATCAATATTTCATTTTCCTATGTTTCACAAATATCAGCATCAAAACCTAACATTAGAAACCACCTATATCAGCCCAAAGTCGGTTTGCAACTCAGATTTCTACAATATCTTCTGCTTGCTACAAACCATCAAATTAGATATATAATCAAAGACAATTAGTCATACAAAAATGATCTAAAATAGATGCTTGTATATTACATGTATTATTGAAGAGAAGAGAAGTTAGAAGTCACAACATTTAGCATCAACAAGGTTGTACATAAAGAGAAGTATAAAAGAAGATGACTTTCACTTCCATCACTCTTTACTTATAGGTGGTGGTACTTGTCATAATAGACAACTTCCATCACTTCATTATTATATCTATCATAAAATAGATCTAGAAAATCTTGTAGCATTTCACTTACTACAAAGATATCTCTTAATATATGCTTTATATTATTATCTATCTTTTAAATATTTTTTAGTAGATTCTTTATTTTTTTACCTATTTCTTTGCTTTGTATTTAGTGGCTTATTTATAGGTTGGTTCTTCTTAATGCCAAGAATTAATTCATTGACAACTATCAATTAACTTAAGCTAATATTATCTAAGTGGTAATTTTATTCTTGTCACATGATGTGACATTAAATGCTAAATGCCAATAGATATATGTAATTTAGTTTGATTTTATGATTTTACATCCGCTTAATTATTTTATTAGTTGATTTTGTCATATTAATTAGTATTTAAAAACTTTAGTAGAAAAATAACCTTAACTTGACATTTTTATTAAGTTAAAACTAATAAGTGATCTTTTAAAGAGAGAAAGCTTGAATTGTAAGGATTTGTTTAATTATGGTGATTTAGCCATTTAATAAAGCTTTAGGATTTTCTCTATTTACACTTATATTCTTTATTTTTTCTTTAGTGATGTGAAAAGTAGCTTGATCTACTTGTATATAGATTTATCATTTTTATTTGATAAGAATATTTTCTTTTTTAACCTATAATGTAAAAAATTAAAATAGAATAGTTTTTTTTTAAAGAAATAATTTTAATCTTTATACATAATGTATTTTTTTAGTACTATGTTTTTTTGAGTGATGTTTTTAGTATGTATTATCATTAGTTGCCAATATTGTAGTATTGGACATAAAAATATAAAGAGCAATTAAAGTTACATGCATAATAACTCACTAGTATAGAAGATAGTATTGGAATACAAGAGCAATTGAAGTTACATAAGTTAATATGTATTTTTATTTTCATATTGTAGCTGGAGTATGATACGATGGTAGATTGTAACAAAAGAAGATAATGCAATGTAAAAAATATGTTTCAATTATTATTTTTTGCTAAAACTAATGAATTCATTAGTTAATTATTATTTTTTACTAAAACTAATGAATTCATTTATTTTTTGCTAAAACTAATGAATTCAATTATTATTTTTTGCTAAAACTAATGAATTCATTAGTTTTAGCAAAAAATATAATGCTTGAAAATGTCTTCAAAAAAAAAAAAAAATTATGCATTAGAAGAGGAGGAATTGCTATTATGAAGGATTTTGCAAAGACACTTATTTTGATAGATAAGTATATAAGGTTGGTGGTAGGTTATAACTCTAATTTAGTTGAGCTCAATGAAGGTGTGTTAGAAAAAAAACATTTCACATTGATAAACAATAGAAGTTAGTAATAGTTATAATAGCATCTTATTTCAAATAAGGATAGGAATCAACATGATGATAAGCTCATTTTGGTCATATAATCCTATTGCAATAATAAAAGAAGGACAATGATAGGAACTACTTGGTAAAGGACGTCAATGCGGTTATAAATTCATATATTATCATGATGTAACACAATTAATAGGTGAAAAGGATGAAGAAATTATTATATTGTAGAAGATCTTATTTCAAATATTATAGCAAATTATCTCAAAAAATAGAAAATAGTCCAAAAGAAAGTAAAACTAAAGGTATAAATGCTATCTTTTAAGAAAGTAGGCTTCTATTTACTTTATAAGGCCTTAAATATAAAAAAATAAGATAGATTAGAAAAATAAA